TGCCATACATCAAGGGAACCATGGACCGCACAGGGATACTGATGGAGAAGCACAACCTACAAACTATCTACAGACCCACTAAAAAAATCCAACAAATGCTATATTCAGTAAAGGACAAGAGGGATCCTCTCACTTCTGCAGGAGTCTACGTTTTATGTATATAAAAGAACATGAAGGGAAAGCTATAAATGCTGCACATTACATAGTACAAACAGCATTAATCTGTAAACAAATATACTACAAGGAGGTATAATTTAACTAAAGGAAAATTTCATGGGGAGAAGAAAGAATTTAGGGGCAATGTCTTTATATTCCCGCCTCCTATAACTACATTCCTGGGGATGTCCTTGAAATATTTTGTATTGCAAAGTCCCATCACTCTACCATTGACTGATGCTTACAAGAGTTGTGGCCCACTATTGTACGATTGCCTACAAAAGGATGAAGCTGCACAAGCTGCACAAGAGCCAAAGGTGAAATAAGAGCAACAGATGCAAAGAGCGAATGATGAAGATAGTTACTTGATAAACAAATGTTTTCTTTACAAGTGGTACATTGACTCTAAACCAGGTTGCTCTTTAACACCACCTAACTCTCATTACCAAATGAGTAACCATCTTTATAATCTAAACATTAGAACATAGACTTCTTTGGAAGTCATGCTCTGCTTTGGCATTATATTTTTCTCAACCCCAAAGTAACTCAAATATGCATTCAATATGTTTGAATGTGAACATTTGAATACTGTTTATGTTTAATTCTGTTTTAATGCTTGTATATTTGTATATTTCAAATTGTATGCTAATGTTTTTATGTTAAGCCACTTTGAGTCCACTTTGGGGGAGATAAAGCGGGGCATAAATAAATAATATGAGAAGCATATGGTGTGCTCACTCCATCAGTGTTTAACATTTACACAAATGATCAGCCACTGCCAGGAGAGACATAGAGTTTAATCTATGCTGATGATCATGCCATCACCACTCAAGCAGGCAGCTTTTCAATGCTTGAACAGAAGCTCTCCGAAGCTTTATGTTCTATTACTGCTTAATACAGAGAAAACCAGTTGATTCCTAATCCATCTAAAAAACAGACATGTGCCTATCATCTTAAGAACAGACAAGCATCTCGAGCTCTGAGGATTACCTGGGAAGGAAATCCATTGGAGCATTGCAGCACACCAAAATACCTAGGAGTCACTCTGGACTGTGCTTTGACTTATAAGAAGCACTGTTTGAATATCAAGCAAAAAGTGGGTACTAGAAACAATATCAAAGGAAAACTGACTGGCACAACCTGGGGATCACAACCAGATACAGTGAAGACATCTGCCTTTGTACTTTGCTACTCTGCTACGAGTATGCATGCCCATTTGGAACACTTATCACCACATTAAAACAATGGATGAGGATCTTAATGAGACATGCTGTATTATCACAGGATGTCTACACCTCACACCACTGGAGAAATTATTCTGTTTAACCGGTATTCCACTACCTGACATCTACTGGGAAGTAGCAGCCAATAATGAAAGGACCAAGGCAACGACATCTCCGGCCCATCCCCTGTTCGGATATCAGCAAGCATGCCAATACCTTAAATCAAGAAATAATTTTCTAAGTTCTACAGAGATACTCTCAGTAACACCTCAGCAAGCGAGAGTCCAAAAGTGGCAGGCTCAAACCCAGAACCTCAAGCCATGGCTGATATGAAAGTCTCCCTCCTGGGCACACAGAAGACTGGGTGACTTGGAAGAACAGACTGCACTCTGGCACCACGAGATGCAGAGCTAACCTTAAGAAATGGGGTCACAAAATAGAGTCCATGACATGCAAGTGTGGAGAAGAGCAAAGCACAGACCACCTATTACAATGCAACCTGAGCCCTGCCACATGCACATTGGAGGACCTTCTCACAGCGACACCAGAGGCACTCCAAGTGGACAGCTATTGGTCAAAGGACATTTAGTATAATGCCAAGTTTTTTAAACTTTGTGTTTTTTAAAGACATTACAACTATATCCTTAATTCACTTCTGATATGAATAATAATAATAATAATAATAATAATAATAATAATAATAATTGGAATCTGTTTGCACTGATCAAAACTAATAAAAGTTCCAAGAGTCCAGTGTAAAGGGACAACGTAATATTCATCACAGAGAAGACATTGCTGGGGAAGTTGTTGTTGTTGTTGTTGTTGTTATTATTATTATTATTTTACTGACACAAAAACACAGTATGTCACAGCAAATCAGGATTGAAACATCAGCCGATTAACTAATTTATGAGGCCATAAAAAAGACTCCAGCAAAGCACTCCAGCAAAAGCATGCGGGGAATGTGGAAGTACTTCATCAGTGTTGCAGATGGATGATGAAAGCGACAGCTCCCCTGGCGGCCAGAAAAAAGTTAAATAGCCTCTGTGTATGTCTGTATACATTGTGTATCAAATTGGCATTGAATGTTTGCCATATATGTGTACATTGTAATCTGCCCTGAGTCCCCTGCGGGGTGAGAAGGGCGGAATATAAATACTGTAAATAAATAAATAAATAAATTGAAATGGTTGAACAGAAGCTCTCCGAAGCTTCAGGTGCTCTTACTGCCTAATACAGAGAAAACCAGTTGATTCCTAATCCATCTAAAACACAGACATGTGCCTATCATCTTAAAAACAGACAAGCATCCTGAGCTTTGAGGATCATCTGGGAAGTAACTCCACTAAAGCATCACAGCACACCAAAATACCTGGGAGTCACTCTGGACTGCGCTTTGACTTATAAGAAGCACTGCTTGAATATCAAGCAAAAAGTGGATACTAGAAACAATATCAAAGGAAAACTGACTGGCACAACCTGGGGATCACAACCAGATACAGTGAAGACATCTGCCTTTGCTCTTTGCTACTCTGCTGCTGAGTGCGCATGCCCAGTGTGGAACACATCTCACTATATTAAAACAATGGATATAACTCTTAATGAGACATGTTGTATTATCACAGGATGTCTATGCCTCATACCACTGGAGAAATACTGTTTAGCCAGTATTCCACCACCTGACATCTACCGGGAAGTAGCAGCCAATAATGAAAGGACCAAGGCAACGACATGTCTGGCCCTTACCCTGTTCGGATATCAGAAAGCACGCCAATACCTTAAATCAAGAAATAGTTTTCTAAGATCTACAGAGGTACTCTCAGTAACACCTCAGCAAGCGAGAGTCCAAAGTGGCAGGCTCAAACCCAGAACCTCAAGCCATGGCTGATACCAAATGAAAGTCTCCCTCCTGGGCACGCAGAAGACTGGGCGACTTGGAAGGCATTGAACAGATTGCACTCTGGCACCACGAGATGCAGAGCCAACCTTGAGAAATGGGGCAACAAAATGGAGTCCATGACATGCGAGTGTGGAGAAGAGCAAAGCACAGACCCCCTATTACAATGCAACCTGAGCCCTGCCAGATGCACAATGGAGGGCCTTCTTATAGCAACACCAGAGGCACTCCAAGTGGCCAACCACTGGTCAAAGGACATTTAGTATAATGCCAAATTTTTTAAACTTTGTGTTTTTTAAATACATTACAACTGTACCCTCAATTCACTTCTGATATGAATAATAATAATAATAATAATAATAATAATAGGAATCTGTTTGCACTGATCAAAACTAATACAAGTTTCAAGAGTCCAGTGTAAAGGGACAACGTAAGATTCATCACAGAGACGGTATTGCTGGGGAAGTTGTTATCATTATCATTATTATTATTGTTGTTGTTGTTGTTGTTGTTGTTATTATTATTATTTTACTGACACAAAAACACAGTATGTCAGAGCAAATCAGGATTGAAAAATCAGCCGATGACACAAAAAGCAGACTGTGCAAGGAAGCTGATGAAACCATGGATCATATCCTCAGCTGTTGCGAGAAAATCGCACAGATGGACTACAAACAAAGGCACAACTCTGTGGCCCAAATGATTCACTGGAACTTATGTCACAAGTACTACCTACCAGCAAGTAAAGAACTGGTGGGATCATAAATCTGCAAAGGTAGTGGAAAATAAACACGCAAAAATACTGTTCAACTTTCAAATCCAGACTGACATAGTTTTGGAACACAACAACCAGACATCACAATTGCGGAAAAGAAAAAAGTCTGGTTTATTGATGTCGCCATACTAGGTGACAGTTGCATTGAATGTGTCCAGAGGAGGGCGACTAAAATGATAAAGGGTCTGGAGAACAAGCCCTATGAGGAGCGGCTTAAGGAGCTGGGCATGTTTAGCCTGAAGAAGAGACGGCTGAGAGGAGATATGATAGCCATGTATAAATATGTGAGGGGAAGCCACAGGGAGGAGGGAGTAAGCTTGTTTTCTGCTTCCCTGGAGATTAGGACAAGGAACAATGGCTTCAAACTACAAGAAAGGAGATTCCATCTGAACATGAGGAAGAACTTCCTGACTGTGAGAGCCGTTCAGCAGTGGAACTCTCTGCCCCGGAGTGTGCTGGAGGCTCCTTCTTTGGAAGCTTTTAAACAGAGGCAGGATGGCCATCTGTCAGGGGTGATTTGATTACAATATTCCTGCTTCTTGGCAGAATGGGGTTGGACTGGATGGCCCATGAGGTCTCTTTCAACTCTTTGATTCTATGATTCTAAGTACCACCTACCAGCAGTAAAGAAATTGTGGGATCATAAACTTGCAAAGGTAGTGGAAAATGAACACGTAAAAATACTGTGCGACTTTCGAATCCAGACTGACAAAGTTTTGGAACACAACACACCAGACATCACGATTGTGGAAAAGAAAAAGTCTGGAATATTGTTGTCGCCATTCCAAGTGACAGTTGCATTGGGGAAAAACAACAGGAAAAAATCAGCTGTTATCAGGAACTCAAAA